TATAATTATACCATGTGAATATGCATAAAAGAATCATGGAATCCAAAAAATAAAACATTTGAAAACTATTGCGTAATTTACAGATCGGTCAGTGAAATAATCATATAAATTACTTTTCGGTCAGTAAATTGCTGAAAATGGGCTGTTCAAACAAATTAAACATATCAACTTTAAATAATTTCTAATTTTTTTAAAAATTTTGATATTTTCGAACCGTTATTACATTTGACTTAAAATTTTAAATAGTGATCCAGTTTTTATTAAATCTGACGGGATTATCCAGAATTGTTTATTTTACAGACTGAAGGGTTTCTACTTATTTAACTGTGTTATGATGAAAAAAATTATGGTTGCACTATGCAAATATGCATAAAGGAATCATGGAATCCAAAAAATACATCATATTGCATAATTTTCAGACCTGCAGTAAAATTATTGCATAAATTACAGACCGGTCATTAAATTACAGAAAAAGGGATGCAAAAACCAATTGGGCATATCGACCTTAAATATATTTGATATATTTGAACAGTTATTATATTTGACTTGAAATTTTAAATAGTGTGCCAGTTTTTATTGAATCTGTTGGGATCATACAGAATCGTCTATTTTACAGACTGAAAAAACTTGAAATTGAAGTTTTTGATAGAGATACAAAAAAAATTATGGCATTTAATTTTCTTATATACTATAAGAAAATTAAATGCCATAATTTTTTTTGCATCTGTCAAAATTATCCAGAATTGTTAATTTTACAGACTGAAATGTTTTTATTTATTTAGCTAGTCTTTTAAAAATGAATTTAGATTTAAATCTTTTAGAAAAAAAAAGAAAAAAATTTAGGTTATATTATAAAACTTCATGCTATATGCATTAAGGATTGTGAAATCCAATTAATTCATCTGTTTAAAACTATTGCTTTATTTACAAACCGATTAGTAAATCACTGCGTAAGGGCATAGAAATAAATCATTTAGAATTATCTATTTAACAGACAGAAGATTCTTTAATAAAACTAAAATTCAAATTTGAACTCTACCTAAAATTGTAATAAAATTATTATTAAAAACAATACATCTAAATACATACAATAATACATCAAATAACATTAGATACACAATAATTTTAAAAAAATATTTGTTAATTCATTTTAAAAATTAAAAATTAAAAAAAGTTATAAATTAACAATTAAAACTAAATAAATATAAAATAAGAAACTTATTTTTTGAGATTTGTGAACTATCGACAACACCTAAGATGAAAAAATTAAAACAACATTTAAACAAAAAATATTGTTTGTCTAAAATTTATCTCTTGGCTTTTAGTGAATGATTAGAAGTAGTTTCAGTAACGAAACAACCTAATAATCATTTTTAACGATAGACAGTTCCAACAAAAGAGTAAGATACATATAATGACTTACAGGTAGATAAAGACAAAGATACACATAATGACTAATGGCTACATAAATACAAACATACATATAATGACTTACGGGTGGGTCAGCACCGCTCCAGAGTTCCAACAGAACACAAACATACACATAATGACTGATAGGTACATAAACACAAACATACATATAGTGACTTACGGGTGCGTTAACACCGCTCCAGAGGTCCAACAGTACACAAACATACACGTAATGAGTAACAGGTATATAAACACAAACATACATATAGTGACTTACGGGTGTGTCAACACCGCTCCAGAGGTCTGACAGAACACAAACATACACATAATGAATAACGGATACATATACACAAACATACATATAGTGACTTACGGGTGCGCCAACACCGCTCCAGAGGTCCAACAGAACACAAACATACACATAATGAGTAACAGGTACATAAACACAAACATACATATAGTGATTTACATGTGCGTCAACACCACTTCAGAGGTCCAACAAAACACAAACATACACATAATGACTAACAGATACATAAACACAAACATGCATATAGTGACTAACAAGTGAGTAAAAACAAACATGCAAATAATTGCAGACACACCTACAAAAACATACATGCAAACACAAAAAAATGTAAACACAAGGATACATATATTGACAGGTATGTCAGCACAAAAATAGAAAGCATGACTTACGGGTATGTCACCATGACGGCAGATGTCCAATAGAAAACAAATATACATATAAAGAATTGTCGGTGCGCCAACACCGCTCCAGATGACCAAACAGAACACAAACAAGAAAACATTAAATTGAATGACAATAAAAATAATAATAACAATAATATTATTAATAATAAGAATAATAACAAACATAAATACAATAAATTAAATCCCCATTGTGTCAAAAATGATATTAACTGCATTTTTGTTTTTTACAAACTTCGCCCTCCACATAACCATCAGCTTTTCCCTCTACCACAACACATTTCATCCTCCACTCTTTGACCAACTCAATATCATACTTATCTTCATATCCATCATATATTATCTGAAACTCACACTCTTCATCAAATTCATTGTCGTCTAGAACACTAACCACGAGCCCTGAATAGCATACATCCTTGCCATCATTATCTACCATTTTATGTTTTATTCTTTTTCCTAAAAACTTTGGAACTCTTCCCTTTGATGTGCCTGTTCTTATTTTACTTCCAGTTTCCATAATTAACCTAGCGTCACCCTCTAATCTGACTTTTTTTTTTAATGTTAACAACATTTCTTGTCTTTCATTAATCTGTCTGATAACTGAACATTTTATTGCAGTTCAGGAACGTCTTTTAAAAATTTAAAAATTGATATTAGATTGGTTTTTAATTTATCAATACCAAATTTTTTGTAATACTCCCCTTTTGCCTTTTCTCCTAATTGTAACCACTTTTCTGGAAATTTTTGCTGTAATACTTTTTTTCGAAATTTAATTTGTCTTTGCAACTTCATTATAATTTCATTTTCAGTTCCTAAAATTTTTTCAAAATCCTCTTTACACAAAATTAAACCACCATCCTTTCCGATTTCTGTTGTCCAAAACTCTTTCTCTTCGCTTGCCTTTTGTTCCTTTATTTCCTTTTCTAAGTTGCGCTTGTCCATCTCATCAATTTTGTACTGCAATATATTTGCTTTTTTCTCTCTGTACTTTCTTATATACCAGGGTTGGCAAAAAAACCCAACCCAAAAAAACCCAAAAAAACCCACCTTAAAAAAACCCAATAAAACCCAAAATATATTTGGGTTTTTTTAAAAATGACCTATTTTACAACTGATAACTCTGATTTTAACACTTATAAATGCTTTATTATCAGCAAGTGCAACCTTTATACTGTAATTACTCTTGTAAACACTGTATTTATATACATAATGGTCTTTAGGATATACCCAAAATCGATCAATCTGTTTTTGTTGCAAGTTGGTTATTTATTATTTTTTAAAACATTTAGCAAGTCATTATAAATGTTATTGAAATATGTATTAAAACATTAAATTAGTTAAATACTTATAAAGGAAATAAAAATCATTCTATTAACTAAATTTCAAGACACTACTAGTTATTTATTATCTTTATTCTCCTCTCGAATGTCTGTATTCTTTTATATTGGTATTTGATCTTTTATTTTTTAAAGCTTATGTTGTAAACTGCAAAAAAAAATACAAAGCCACAAGCAAAATACTATATATAAAAATTAAACTTTATTTACAGTTTATAAATGGAAAATTGTCAGGCAAAAAAAAAATGCTACAGTTTACTAGATTTGTCCTTCAGTGCATACAACTTTAAAACTTAAAAAAAATTAAGTTATGTGCAAGCAAGCTTGCAACATGTTTGTTCATTCAATGAGAGAACATGTTGAAAACTTGTATGCATTTCACAAAGACAAGATTTGTTGGTAAAAATGACACTCGTGCTCATCTGTCTTTTGACAGGTTTTGAATATTTTGCATCAGCTACAAGTTTACAACATGTACCACCAACAGGGGTGACTATGAACAGCGGGTTGAAAATTAACATCAGTATCAAGTTGCTAAAAGGTTGCTAAACACACACACAATAGAGGTATATAATGTGTTACTTTGATTCAGTTTGCAATTTGCATTGCAAAACTGAGCCGGTAAAACATCTTCAAGGAAAAAAAAAAACTTGGTGGCGAAGACACTGTAATGGTTCTTAACAAATTTACTTTATATATATATTTAGAAACAAAGTTTAGGCAAAAATCCATTTTTTGCCAGTCCAGTTGATCAGGCCGATAACTTTTCCAGGAAGCTGGACAGTATAATGTTCTGATAAAAAAAAATGTAGTGATTAGGCTAGCAGTTTTCTTCTATGATACAAAAATGTTTAAAAAGTGTTCATAGTCATCCTGATTGATAATAACTTATAAGGTTGCAACATCATGTGGCAAACTTGTTGATTACATGTTGTAAACTTGTGCAAAGTAGTTTTTGAACATGTTAGTAAAAAAAACTAGTTTGCAACATTTTTATTGTCTTACTAACTTTGAATAACTCAACTCTCATAATTTTTACACTGATTTTTTTTAGTCAAAAATATTCTGAACATGTTTTTAATTTAGAGCAATTAATTAACATCATTTATAGTTAAAGGAGGCCCTTTTTGCACTATAGATAAAATGTACTAGTAGACTAGTAGTAAAACATTTGGCTCGCAACCAGAAGGTTGGGGTTCAAATTACTTCTGCTGAAATTACTGTCTCAATCTATTTCTCCACACAGCGCCTTTGTTTAAAAATTTTAGTTGTTAATGTTGTTTGTTAGTAAAAATGGTAATGTTAAGGATTAAGACAAAATATTTTTAAAAAATGAGTTGCTCCCTTGACTAAAATGGTCATTGGAGCAATAGGGAGGTGAATTTATGAAATTAAAAAAAAAAATTATTGTACTCATACAATTATAAAAATTTGATATTTTGATCGATTTTTAAAAAAACCCAAAAAACCCATAAAACCCAAAAAAACCCAATAAAACCCAAAAAAATCCATTTGGGTTGGGTTTTTTTAAAAAACCCTGGGTTTTTTCCAACCCTGTTATATACCCTTTTCTATTTCGCCTTGCTAACATAACTAGCCTTTCAATTTCTTCCTGTGATTTTCAATCTATCCAATCAGCTGTTTTGTTGTTGTTAAACATGATCACACCAGCTGCAGCTGTTGTTGTCATATTAGGCTTCATTTTTAATCTGCGGTCATAGGAAGCAAAGTCACGTTCAGACACAACATTAGTGCGTGGGCAGTTTTGAGTTTCTTCAAGCACATCAACACCCGGATTGTAATATTTTCCTCCAGGCAATTGGTCTCTTAACTGACTCTGAATCATAACCGAACATGTGCAACATATAACTTCAAGACATTCTTGTGTTAAGGCATCCAAAAGTAGGTCATTACAATTAGAAAATAAATGATCAAACACTTCATCCTTGGTGAGATATTTTACATCAAAAAATGTAGAACCACTTAACATTTTTGATGCATCAGAAGAACAAGAAACAAAATAATTGAACATTTGCAACCAAATGGTATTTAAAGAGAAAATGACCCTCCTCTTCAATAATACGAAAAAGAGGTCCTGATATCAATTTACTAAAAATTCCCAGAGCTCTAGTTGAAGCATGAAAAATGATGTTGTCAATATCATGCCTAATTGACTCATGAAGAAAATTTGAACCACCAAGATTGAAAACAAATTCTTTAAGGTGGTCTTTATGATAATACGTTGCTCCACCAAGTACAAATATAATATTAAAGCGATGATGCAGAAATGAAACCATAAAATTTTTTGAAAACCTTTTACGCAAAATTGCCTTCCATTCATCAGCTTTTCCATTTCGCTGATCACCATGCCGATAGCTTGTAAGTTTTGAAAGTTCATACAAAATATCAAAGGTGCGAGAGTTTTGAGAACTTTTAAAACCACCATGAATACTACCTTCCTGCTCAACCACTTTTTCCCATTCTATTATTGCTTTTTCTGCATATATTCCTAGATTGTGGATAACGTGTAAGCCACAAAAAACATGATGCATTTGAGAAATTTTAAATTTTTCATTTAAAGGAAGCTGATCATAGTTTTCAACAACAAAAGGCAAAATTGCTTCTCTCCAATGTCTAAATTGGTGAAAAAAACTTGAATTAACGATAGTGCGATCTGTCATCAAAGATTTGAAAGAAAAAATAAGTTTCCTAAGATCATTCTCGTAGTTTTCCTTGTCAGGAGAAAATATCTTGGACATATCAGTGAGTAAGTTTTTTAGCTTTCCAAAATAAGATTGTGCCTCTCCCGAAAACATATCTTCTATCCCAAACGTGTAGCTACCAGATGATGTTGCGACTTGAAAACTACCAACCTCTCTAAAATTATATTTTGTGCCATCTGTATGAAGAACATTGTTTGTACTATTCAACATAGCCTCTCTCACTTGAGCTTTTGCTAAAAGGTTCATTTTACTAAAAAATTCAGAAGCCAAAGATTTTTTTGGAAGTGTGCCACATGAAATTCCAGCCATTTTTTGTAGTACAGTTCTGATAACAGATTCAACATTATTAACAGAAACATTTTTACTTAAAAGGTCGTAATATACCGAGCGAATTTCATCATTATATCTACCTCCTTCATAAACGTCAATAACATTTTTTTCAAAAATGTCAACTCTTTCCTTCAGCTCTTCTGTAAAATTTTCAAAGTAATTCAAACTCTCCGTTAAGAATGAATCATTTGTTTCATCAGATGTTTTCAAAATAGTGTTTTCAATTTTTTTCTTTAAATACCAGGCCTTTTATCGATCTGATTGGGAACAATTTCTAGCCAAATCAATTTCTTTTTCTAATCTTAAATTTATTTGCAACAATTGGTTAATCTTACAATCTTTTCTAACGTCTCTTTTGTTGACATTTCGAACATTATATTTTGACAAGATTACTTGATATTTTCTTTTATATTCATAACATCTTCTATTAACTTGTCTATTTTGCAATTTAAGGTGATTAATTCTCCGTTTGTATTTTTTTATTTGATAGGTCAAATCACCAGAAAATAAAGGTAGTTTTTTATCTAAATTGGAAACTGGAAGATTCTCTTCACTAAAACACGTTTCAGTAAGAAATTTTTCAGACCTTTTTTCTAAAGGGATGTATATAATAGAAGTTGGGGTAACAGGAATCGACAATTCATCATTAGTAATTTGCAAATTTAATTCAGAAGATACAAAAACAGTAACTTAATTTGGAACAATTTCACTATTGTAGATAGAAGTAGGGGTAGAACAAGCATCAGAAGGTAACAAACCAACAACATCAGAAAAAGCACCATTAAAAGATAAAGCAGAGCTTAAAAAATGTTTTTTAAAGTCCAAATTTTTGGCTCGATTTATTTTTACAATGTAACCTTTTAACTTTTTTAAAATCCTTATAAGCATCACTCTAGAGATATTATACTTACAGTAGGTTGTAAAAAATAATGAAAGATTTTCTAATGTTATGTTATGTTTATTTTTGTCTTTGCAAATTTGTAGAAAATGGCTATTGGTTAACACAAAATCAGGATATTTGAAAGAAATAATGCCATCATTTATATCCAGAAAATCCAAAATATTCTTGCAGGTTGCTATTTCAGACAACACTTTGGTAGCTAAAATTAATATTAAATTTAATTTGAGTGATTACAATAAATATATTGTTAATCAAAGAGTTGAAGTTTGATAATATCTAGCTTTGTGAAAATAAAATAAAGGTAGATCATCAAGCTTAAGATTCTATAAATAAAATTATTGAAATGTAAAATGTTTGTTATACATTTTTCCGGATTTAAAAATTTAAAAAGTCTATCAAAGTATGACTTACATTCTTGACTTATAGATTGAACCACCATTTCAAGTAGATTGTTAAGTTCACAGCCTAAAGAAGAGAATTTGAATTTTAAATTAAAGTTCATTGGTTATTTTACTTAGCCAAAAAAAAATATAAAAATAAATGAAAAAAAAATGATAACACTCTTACATATTTCCATTTTGTAAACTTTAGACTAAAAGTTTAGTTGATTACTATTTCTTTTTGTTTTGAAAAAAACAGTTTAGAGAATCTACAGACTAAAAACAGTAGTAGAAACAGTGAAAATCAAGCTTGTAGTTGAGCAATCCAGAAAAAATACCTTTAAAAATATAAAATCTTTATTTTTATTGCCTTGAAAACTTAAGTCATTAATAAGGAATATACTTTCATTTTCAATTTTATTTGTAGTTAAAATTTCGAAATTGCAAAATCAAAACAAAAAACGTCATAAAATACGCGAAGAAATATAGATGTATATATACATAATTCTAATATACAAATCCGAAGCACCTATTTTTTAAGAAAACATAATTAAACACTTGTTTTAAAAAAGAGGAAAGGCTGAATTTGCCATTTCCACTTGAACACTTTCAAAAATCACTTTTTTTTCTATAATAATTAACCTTGAAGTTTTTAAACACTGAGAACTAAAAATTTATGTATAAATGTTAAAAAGTGTTCACATTCCATTAGATTCCTCAACCTTTTTTTAATATATTCGGAAAGTTTTATAAAAATTAGATTTGTTTTGGTACTTCGGAATCCTTACCTCCAAAAGCTTCGTTTTAAAAAAACGTTCCCGCTTCAAGATTTTTTCTCAAAAGTGGTCTCAAGATATGGATAATATTTAAGTGAAGCCATAAAAAGCATAGTACTTTTCATATATGGCTGAAAAGAGGTTGAGTAACACTAATTGATGCAAAAAACCTGAGGTTGCTTGCTTTTCTATACAAAAAGATATAAGAGAGCAAACTTCATGAAAATTTCGTGTTTTTTGTCAAACGTCAAATGTTTTTCGCTTAGCCGTGGAATCGCTACGTTAGAGAAACCTCCATTTAGGTGTTTTAGTAGTAAAACTTTTACTAAAAGAAGACTAGATTTATTATATATTATTGCTTTTCAAGACCAGAGTGATATCTCAGTTTAAAATCTAGTCATAATTCTAAGCGATTGAGTCTTTTCGTTGAATGTTATTAACTGTCCTTTAATACTATTAACTTTCGTTGGATCGGGTTGGACAAATTTACAAAAACAATCACGTCACGTAAAATCCAATTCGACCCAACGAAAGTTAATTACATTGAACGTAAAATCCAATTCGATCCAACGAAAGTTAATTACATTGAACGTAAAATCCAATTCGATCCAACGAATGTTAAACATTGAACCAAGGACGTATTAATAGATGGACGTTTAACGGATTGTTTAAAAGCCAAGATATCCGCGCTATTTATTGTTACAAATAACAATAGCAAAACAATAGAGAACTATTTTTAACTTGAGAATATTTTTACTTGATTTTACGTCAAAATAACGATAGTCTCGTCTAGCCTTAGAAATATTTAAAAATTACATTACACCTAAAAAATCTAAAAAATTTTTAAATAAATAAAACCTTTTCATAATATGATCTATAAACTCAAGCGAAATCTTTATATGGAAAAAAAGAATTAATCACAGAAAAATATTAAAACAAAATTGTAAGTGAGACAAAATTTCCGACAAAAATGAGAAATTTAAATACTTAAAATAATAGTGAAAACGAAGTGTAGGGAATAGAGACCACAAGTAATCTATAGTTCGATCTATATATGATCTACACTTTTACCTACAACATCTAGAAAATTCGTTTCACTTTGCAGTATTCATTCTTGCAAACTAAATATCGCTTTTTTACAAAAATATGATTTTTGACGTCTAAGTTTTATTAATAAATTGTTCTTATTAAAAAGCGCTCACGTATCAAATTTGACATTTTAAAACAGATGAACTATTTCTGTATAACTAATATGCATTAATTTTTAAAAAATGTTAGAGTTTTGTAGGTAATTGTACTTTTTAAAAAAAGTAGTTAGAAAAGCGAAATTATCGGAAAAAAGTCGGTTTACATTTATAAATTATTCAGAAAAATGACGCTAAAAATTATAGCTCGAATACTCAACGGCATTAATGCAAGTTTTCATACTTTTTTGTCTTGCTTGTTCTCGGTGATAACAAACATACTTTTTTTCTGGTCTGCAACATTTGTTTAGATTTTGTTTAAGTCATAATTAATTTTAGTCATAAAAAGTCATTCTTACAACTATTGTTTAAAACATAACATATCTTTCGCGATAGAGTAAGAAAATATGTAGTAAAGAAACACAGTATTGTTAAATATATATATATATATATATATATATATATATATATATATATATATATATATATATATATATATATATATATATATATATATATATATATATATATATATATATATATATATATATATATATTATATATATATATTCAACTTAATATTATTTTGTTGAATATATATATATATATTCAACAAAATACCGTTTTTCTTTACTATTATAACAAATTACTGTGTTTCTTTATATATATATATATATATATATATATATATATATATATATATATATATATATATATATATATATATATATATATATATATATATATATATATATATATATATATATATATATATTTAGTTAAGCTTTACTAAATAATTAGAAGTAATACTTTTTTTTATATTATGAATAAAAATTCATTTTTGATAACAATAATATCTTAATTTAATATAATATTAACAATGACATTATTAACATTATTAATGTTATTAAATCATACAACATATGTCACATATGTAGTATTATTTAATAACATTATTAATCTTATATTATATTAAGATTATTATTATGTTAGTCGATTATGTGCATGTATAATTCTAACTACATATATATATATATATATATATATATATATATATATATATATATATATATATATATATATATATATATATATATATATATATATATATATATATATATGTAGTAACAATTATATATGCACATATTCATTATGTAGTGCATAACCATTAATGTACAGTCAAGTACACAATAATTTAGCCATATTTTTTGCAGTATACATATCATATTATGCATAATAACGTTATATATATATATATATATATATATATATATATATATATATATATATATATATATATATATATATATATATATATATATATATATATATATATATATATATATATATATATAGATTGTGCTGCACTGCACCTAATCATTAAAACATATGTATGTTTTAATGATTAGGTGCAGTGCAGCACAATCCATTCACAAAAAATGCTACAAAAGTGGAAATAAGTAATTACGTAAAGACATGGCTTCGTAATTCGTGCGACAGAAAAAAGTCTGATGGGTCCGGGGGACGCAAACGCCACACTGTTGACAATTTAACTAACAAACGTTTGGGGAATGAGGATTCGCAACTGGGTGATCAAGAAGGTGAAAATGATGCAGATGACGATGAAAACTAATAATTACCAGTTTTAATATTCTTTAATATATATTTCATTTTATTAAATGTTTTATTTTTTACGTTGAAAATACATTTTAATAAATAAATTATAAATAAATTTACCTTAAATGAATTCATACACACTTGATAGGAACGCACTTTTAAAGGTCAAGTCTGTTTGCATTTGGTTAAAGCAATTTAAATGGTGATAAAGCATAACCAATGACGATTGAAATAGACTTTGTTAAACATTAAAAAATAATGAATTTAAGAGATTTAATGTTAATACTGGCTGAACTAACTACGTACTAAGCACAAATAGTGTTTGTAATTCATAAGGCCTAATAAAATATTTTGTCGGATAAACGCTGGCTAAACTGCATTGGGCCAATGCTATTGGGCCAATGTAGGCCCGGCGGCCATCACGGAATCGGCCCAACGTTGGATGTCAACGTTGGGCCAACGTTGCAAGAAGCATTGGGCCGACATTGGGCCAACGCTGGTGTGTTAGCTGGGTATATATAAGTATATATATATATATATATATATATATATATATATATATATATATATATATATATATAAAAGATATATATATATATATATATATGTATATAAATATATATATATATATATATATATATATATATATATATATATATATATATATATATATATATATATATATATTTATTGTTATTATGCATAATATGGTATGCATACTGCACAAATTATGGCACAATAACTGTGTACTTGACTGTACATACAATGGTTATGCACTACATAATGATTATGTAGTAAACACATTATAAACATATTTTCTATAATATTCAAGTTCTATTATAATAAAGTAATAATAACATTTCATGTTGTTATTAAAAATAATTGTATTATTGACATAACTGCTCATAAAAATAATTTGAAAAACTTTGATAATACTAAATCAATATTATATCCAGTGATATAATACTATTTTTAGATATATTTTCAGTGTTAAAAACTTGAAAGTATTGAAGTGTGTCTAAATAAAACACGTTTGCACCAACTACGATTTTATAAGCAGGAATTTTGTGTTTGTTTTCCAAACAATGTTTCCAGCATTTTTCTAAGTACTCTAACTGTTGTTGCATCGAGGAGGAACGAAAATGGGAAAATTTTCTTTTGAATTATTGGGGTAGTTTATATCAAAGAATACTATTCCATCTTCAACTTCTTTCCACCATACATTAATGCCTTCTACTAAATAGTCAGCTGACTTTTCTAAAAGTTTTTGATACTCATTGCTATTCTTTTCAATCCAAGTAAATGATATTTTTGTATCATTAAATAGACTATGCAATGGTTGGTAGAATTTGTAAAGTATTGAAACACCATCGCATAACTTTTTTCCGTCCTTTAAATATCTTTTTGCTTGGTTGCGAATTATTGCATTAAAAATAACATTATCTGAATGATAATTAGAAGATGTTTTTGTAAACAGTTTCAAATTTTGAAAAATCGCTTCTTCTTTTTCCACATTAGACGTACGACCTTTTTTTTTTTTTTTT